TATCTGGAAGCAGATAGCTTTTTTCATCATGAATCCTTTGGAATTATCTTGGGTCATTGTATTGATCAGAGTAGCTAAGTCTGTCATAGCTGATCATCCTTACAAAATTGCTGTTATCATATACATTGTTCTCACTTCACTTTACATCAGTGTATATGTCTTCCTAGGTTTTTCTGAAACCATCCTCTTCATCATTTCTTATAGCACAATAGTGTTCCATCACAACCATATACTACAACTTGTTCAGTCATTCCCTAATTGATAGGCATCCCCTCCATTTCCAATTTTTGCCTCCACAAAAAGTTACAATAAATATTTTTGTACTTATGAGTTCTTTTCCTTTTTCTTTGATCTCTTTAGTAGTATTACTGGGTCAAAGGGTTTGTTTTATAGCCCTTGGCTTAGTTCCATATTGCCCTCCAGAAGATTGGATCAATTCACAGCTGCAGTAATAACGAATCAGTATACCTGTTTTCCCACATCCCCTCCAGCATTGGTCATTTTCCTTTTCTGTCATCTTAGCCAATCTTATGAGTGTGAAGTGGTACTTCAGAGTTGTTTTAATTTACATTTCTCTAATTATTTGTGATTTAGAGCATTTTTTTATGTGACTATTAGCTTTAATTTCTTCTTCTGAAAACTGCCTGTTCAGATTCTTTGACCATTTATCAATTGACAATTAACAATCATTTGACAAAGATTTATTGATTTAAATTGAGGTCAACTAGGCCGAGGCTAGATAAATATGGAGAGGTTCATCACTGGAAGATCAGTATTGAGCAGGTAATGCATTCTTAGACCAAGGCAGATGTATAGTCATAAAACTGAAGAAAAAGGGCACCTTTTAGATTATCCAAGCCAAATCCCTCATGATGGAGGGAATACATATATGCATAAAATCGCAGATCATTCAAAGTAAATAAAAGTCACTAAAAGAGAGGAAAAAATCTTCATCTCAAATCTTGAAATCCTCTCAGCTTCGATTCCCAGATTTTGTGGGTTTAAAAAACGTTGCTGACTGGATAATATAAATTCATGTGTGAAGACCTGGGTATTCACACACACAAAAATAAAACAAGCCCTTTCATTCTCTCTCAACCCATGTGACTTTCCTCTCAGATGTCGTTTCAGGTTTTTCAAAGCCTTTGTAATGAATCACCCTCCAACTTGAGTACCAGGGAGCTAAAGACAAATAAAGGGACATGTCCCCATTTCTTAGCTATTATTATGTCCTGGTATTGAACATTATTAAAATTTGTTGTCTCTAGTAAGACAACTTAAATGATGGAGATCAGTGCAAGCTAAGTGGAAATATTTTTGCCTGCCATGGAAGATTATAATAGAAGATCATTCATCATCAGCTAAGGGAAAACTTGTGGTCGCATAATTACTAAGAGAATAATAAAACCCTGCACTTCTCTGGTGTGGTTCTTTGGATGATCTCAAAGCAGTTCCACTCTACCACTAACAGAATATCATCAGTTTATGAAGAGTCAAGATAGTAAGTATACTCTGGCCTGAGATAGAGACCTCAAAAAGCAAAGAAAGTTACTAATAAAGCAATTCAATTGGAGACTTGGAAAGAAATCTATGGCTATTTCTATAGAAGGGCATGGTGAAGGGGAACAACAGCTGGATTTGGTGTCAGAGGACCACCTCTGCATCTTATTACCTCTGAAGGCTCAGGCAACTCATTTCATTTCTCTGGGCTTCAGGTTCTTAATTTGTAAAATGAGGGGTAAAGACGTGAACTAGATGGTCTCTAGGGTACCTTATTGATTCAGATCTGTAATCCTATAACCTCTCTAGACTTCATTTTCTTCACCTACAAAATGGGGGTGAGGGGAGACAGGTTGGATTAGATCAGGGATTCTTATCCTAGGGTCCATGAACTTTTTAAAAACATATTTTACAACTGTATTCTAATCTAATTGTTTTCCTTTGTAATCTCATGTATTTTACGAATTAAGAAAGCATATTCTAAGAAGGATCAGTCTGCCAACAAGCATTTATTAAGTACCCACTATGTGCCAGGCGCTATGCTAAGTGCTTGGGATACAAAGAAAGGCAAAAGACTATCCCTGCTCTCAAGGAGCTCACAGTCTGATGGGGAAACAACATGCAAGCAATTATGTATAAACACTATATATATATATATAGATAGATAGATAGATATAGATATAGATAGATAGATATAGATATAGATATAGATATACAGGGTAAATTGGAGATAATCAATGGAGGGAACACACTAGAAACTGGAGGGACCGGGAACCGAAGAAAGCCAAGGAAACCAGAAGAGGGGAGGTACTAGCATTAAGTGGAATCAGGAAAATCTTCTTGTAGAAAATAGGACTTGAAGGAGGCCAGAGAAGCCAAGAGGCAGAGATAAGGGAGTCCATAAGCTTCATAAGACTGCCCAAGAGGGCCATAATACCAAAAAGGTCAAGAAACCCTGCACTTGATGACCATTACAGTCCCTTCCAACTCTAGGTCTATCATCTCTAGATGAGACTACATTATGATAAGAGTTGGGGGCTGGGACTGAGATCTGTATAGCAACTCATCAGACATGTCTTTACGCCATGACACAATCCTTCAAGAACAAAGAAATCGTGAATAACTCATGGTTATATGGTACATTATAAAGTGCTTTCTTCAACAATGACATGTTGAAATAGTATTACAAGTATTACTATCTCCAATTCATAGATAAGAGGAAGCTCAGAGAACTGAATAACTTGTCTACTAATTAGCAGGCCTGGGACTCAAACACTAGTCTTCTCATGCCAAACCCAGTGTTCTTTGCATGACATCATCTTGCTTTAGGTAACTATGCAGGGACCAATGAATTATGTCCCCAAAGCTACTGACTGATTATTTGAACTCTCTGAGACATGTCTTTAAATACAAATTTTGTTGAAGTTACAGCTTACGGCAGGGCCTAATGTATTATACTGCTGAGAATGTAGAGAAGTGGTTAGTTAGATAGATAGATAGATAGATAGATAGATAGATAGATAGATAGATAGATAGAT